TTAAACCCTGAATGTGTGAAGCACTTCTGGTCAGTAATCCCTGATTTGGTCTACTGCAGGAAATCTGTCATAACTTGCGACATAACCAGACACTCCTTTCAACCATACACCGTAGCCTTCAACAGAATTCAGTCATTGCAGGTTAGGTCAGCCTGGGGTGTAGTTGCATTTCTCGGGAGGTTTACATCAGGTTACGTAAAAGGCTATGATGTGGGCTTAAAAGGGGTTTGTGGTCAAATCATAAGTAACAACGTGGATTTCCTGCACTAGTCTAAATCGGACAAGACTGAAATGACTGCTTTATTACAGCCAGGAAGGAAAGGTGAGAATAATAAATGCCAGTTAAGATAAACAGTATCACGGCTGTCTTTAAGGCATAGCAGAATTTAACAGACTGCAACTGTTTTTTATTAAATTAATGTTTAGATGTGCACAAGATGGCTTTTTAGTCTCTGTGGCAGCTCTGGTGTTGAAGAGTCTGAAAAGATGAATGGAAGTAAGAACTGAATTTGATTAAAATTGGGTGTCCTTTTCTTAGATCACTGTTTATAGAACAATTAAATGGTTTTTAGCCAAAGGGAAACTGGTAACTGAGGAATAAATTTTAATTCTAAGAACCTGTGACAAATGCAGATTCTTATCAGATGTCTAAGGTGTCTTCCAGGGATGGTGATGACTTTCCAGAGAATTTGCTACAGACCTAGCCTGCTCTACAGCATAAGTTACCATGGTGACATAACACAGAAAACTTGGGGTTAACCCTGAAGTTTCCTGTATAAGCTCAAATCAGGAACAGGGCTGGGTTCTCTGTGTAGTACAAGGGGCCCAATGAGGATAGAAATGTGGCGGTACAGTTAATTTTCACGTCACATAATGCTGGAGATGCATTGGTTGTTTTTTACACTTGAATACATTTTGCTCCTCTTACCTGTGCAAAATTGACTTGAACCAAGTACCAGCCTCAGGCATAAACACTACTGTCAGCAGTATTGCCCAACATAAAATTAAGGCAATGATATTAGTGCATTCCTAAGCTATGATTCAGGAGCCTTTGAGAAATATGACTCATACATTTTTCTTCAGTGTCACCCCTGGTCTCTCTTGTCCGTCACTCTAAAACAAATTTAACAAAAAAAACAGGAAAAGCAGTTTAATTCCTATCAGCGCCAAATCGTCTCATCATGTTGGTTCTGTCTTGCAGTATGGCGTACCCTGTGATGGTTGCTAACTGCAAGAGTAAAAACAAATTTAAATCCTGTTCCATCGTAGCAGATTAAATCTTCCCAACTCTGACAAGTGCACCTAGTGTCAAGAAATCTCACCTCAAAAATGGTTAAAACTACACAAAAGTGACAGCTGCCACTATAAACAGACTCTGGAATGAGACATTATAAACATGGCATTTTTATGTGACCCTCCATTTGACACTCTACTTTCTCAGTTTCTCAACCTCTGCTCTAATGGATTAGATGTACAATTTTAGGACTTTGGGATTTATAAATGGTATGCAGCCCTCAAATAAAACCACTGTTATCAAGCAACTGTAATTGTATCCTTTGCATCTGAAGCGCAAGTTTGAATCTCCTGGTATAATTAGCTACAGGTATCATTAACCTTCTGTATGATTAACTTCCCTGTATCTCTCTTCAGATTGCAGTGAGGAGCTGGATGCCTTTCTTCAGACTCTCGAGGAGCTAACAGTGGAGCTTCCTCCAGAACCTGATACTGATTAAAGTTGTGTTTTTTGTCTGCTTTTAATTGAAATAAAGTTGTTGTTTTTTTTTTTTCTCAATCGTGCATGCTGTGTTTTATGTGCTGGAGCTCCACTTTATAATTGGTGACTGACCATGAAAGTATCAGGAAAGTGTGCGCTATATTACTTCCTGCTTTTAAAGTCCATCAGTGGTCATGTGAGGGTTTCCCGCTATTGGGAGATGAGTGGACTTTGTCTCGGTTCCTCTTGCAAGACGAAGAATAATCTGCGTCACGTGTCGCTTTTTGGGGGATGAACAGTTAAAATTACTCGTGACGTGTTACGTGATTTTTAGATCACCTATTGGGTGGCACACCTGAAGAGTCTGTGTGCGGTCTGAGTGCAGAACAGGTGAGTGGCAGCCGTTTTAGACGGAAACTTAAGCGTAGGTTTGGCTTCTTAACATGGCAAAATGAGGAACTGTGTTCGCCAATAATCGCGTTAGCTGAAATGTTTTTAAAGAGCTTTTTCCTCCCTTACACAGGGGACCGAGTCCAGTCAAGCGGAGGAAATGGTTTCATGTTTATAATATCTTCGGGTGTTGTCTAAATAAAAAGGAAGTCGCCTTGAACTCTGCAGAATTCAGACATGTTTGGGCGCAGCTCGGATGAAGCTGTGTCTGAACCAGCTGTCAGCAATACCGACGCCCACGGCGGCAGGGGGTCTAAGAAGGGCACCGTTGTGGAGCGAGTGTCCAGATACGGCATGCAGGTCATGCCCATGCCAGTGCCCGGAGGTTTCCAGCGTAGGACGAGGCTGCAGAGGCAGCAAGAAGTCTGTGACAGCGCCGCTCCGGAGAGGGAGTCGATCACACCCGCTATGCGTAAAAAGTACCTGAAGGAGCTGCTTCTGGGGAACTCGTCCAACAGCGGGTTTAGCAGCGTGCTGTCCTCGCAGAGCTACAGCCGCTCCGGCGAGGAGGACACGGATTGGGCTTTGTATCCGATGGAGCACGCGTGGATGCTCTCAGCGGTGGAGGGAAGCTATGAAATCATCATGGATTATATCTCAGAGGACCCCCAGCTATTAACCAGGAGGGATTTCATCAGCGGCTACTCGGTCCTGCATTGGCTGGCCAAGAGGGGACAGGACGAGACTCTGATCAAACTTTGGCGCTACGCACAAAGCGAGGGCATCCCCGTGAACGTGAACCTGAAGGGCAGCGGTGGGCTCACGCCTCTGCACCTCGCCAGCATGCACAGTCAGTACATGGTCATCAAGCTGCTGGTCGGAGCTTTCAATGCCAACGTGGACGCAATGGACTACAACGGAAAGAGGCCCTGGCAGTATCTGAGGGAAAACGCCCCGCCGGAGATGAAGGAGCTGCTGGGGGCCTGGGATGAAGAGCACAGCTGGGGATGCACGCAAAACGTCAACAGGAACGGCAACAACAACTGCGCTGGCGCAGTGAACTTGACCGCATGTGAAGAGGACGATGTTGTGGAGGCAGAGGAAGTGAAGCACTTTGACCGGACTAAGAGGCGCAGCGGCTGGAGCCTTGGGTCTCTAAAAAAGCTGCTGCCCTCCTTTCCTCCTTTACTTGGAAGCAAAACATGAGTGGGGGATGACACATACTTTCCAATATGTGCATCATCACTCCACTATTTTTATGTTAGTTTCAGAAGGGGTCGTGAAGACAATGAAAGGCTAGTTTTTAGGCAATGTTGACTATTCAAGCGGTAAAGATCAAGCTGAATGTTAAGGCAGCGGGAATGTGCAGTTTGTCCAAGTATGCTTTCCAGAATTAAAATACTCATTTATATTGGTGGATGTGCTTCACTCATCCAAGACGAGCAGTGTTTACATGATGACTGATTTCTAAACAAATTTCAGTAAAATAGCCAAACTTGATAAGTGAAAGTTCCACAAACTTTAAAGTGTTTCATAAGCTGCTTTTAATGGACCTTTTCTGCTTCCTGCCCAGACTCATTTGCACTACTTGTGTCAACTCCAATATTAGTAATTGGCTGTGTAGGAGCTTTCCCTGCAGTGTATGAGCTCTGAAATCATTTTTTCTAGTTAATCCTGCTGCTTATTGAGGCTTCCTTTAATACCTCTGGTATTTATTCCAAAGACTACAAAGTCAGAAGTCAAATTCTCTAAACAGCAAGTGAACAGTTTTCCATGAAACTGTGATTCATAAGTGTTAGCTGTGTGGTCAAACACAAACCTCTTTCAGTCCAAGTGCTTCTTTTTGCAGAGCTGTGTCAGCATGGCAGCTCCTACATATTTGATTTTCCTGAGAAAAGTAAACACTTTGTGGCAGAGAAAAAGACGCCACTCAAGCATTTCACGTTTGATCAATGATCTTTTATTGTCAAACACGAGTATAACCAGAGTATCTGTACAAAATGATTCCTGCTCCAGATAACATGGCTTGTCCCCTGCAGTCAGTCCAGCAGCTGGAGTTCCTGGCAGATGTTGCGATGCTGGGATCCACAGAGCCTCATGTTTACAGGCCAAGCTTGGTCCTCCTCCAGTGTCTCCTCTTGGAGTTGTACCTAAAATGAAAGAACAAAAAATAAACCCGTCAGGAGGAAAACACTGAGATTCTGATGTTGGCAAACTATTAAACTGTCACGCTGTCAAACCCTGAGTGGAAAGAATTAAAATCTCTCTGTACAAAAACATAAAAGGCTAATATTATCTCTGTTGCTCATCGTTTTACTTGGTGTCAAACTGCAAATAAACTGAATTTTTTTGGGGGAGCTTATTATAGCAGGAAAAACAAAACACCAGTGTAGCTAATAAATGTGATTTTAGTGCAACCTGCCACCTTGGAACACTTAATGGATTACTAAATGTGCCTAACCATGTGCTCTTCCTAATAAATGTATACCTTTAAAGAGATTTATTTTGGTAAGTTCCTTTGAAATGGTCTGCGTCAGTTCATTTATGTGTGTGCAAATTGAGGGTATGCAAGTTTTCACAAAAGTCAAACTCAGACAGTAAAAAATGTGGAAAAATGCTTCAGGTACTGGAAAGTGAAGCAAAGTACCTTAAACCTGCAATCCTTTAAATGACCACAAGGGGAGTACTTTTCTGGTCACAAGAAGACTAAAAGTCTTCAAACTTGAGACAAACGTCTGTGACCTCAGTAAAGCCTCGCAAGATTACGTTTTGGGCTCAACAACCAGTTTCAGATCATATTAAAAGTTTATTTTTTGTGGTCGTCTTCTTTTTTTTTTTGGAAGTCAAAGGAGGATCATCCAATGTTCATTGAGTAAGGATTAGTCCATCACAAATCATTGGGTAATGAGAACATAGTCTCCCATGGTGTCAGATCTCTTGCATCACATGAGCTTTCAAAACACTAAGATGGTTTTGCAACAATTTAAGTGGTCAAAACCATGTAAATAGTAGCTTTAACAGTCTGAGAGCTTCCTTAATAATGCTCCACACCAAGGAAATATTCAAATGATTCGTTGGTTCACGGGTTCAGAGTATGCAAAGTTGTTTGATGTGCGTCTAGTTTCAGATTCTCCAGCACAGCACGTACATTGTGTATTGTTCAGTGTGATAAATATTATAAATCAATACAAAGCCCTATAGTGATTTAGTGAATTTAAATTCCCCTTTGAAGAGATAATTAGAAATAATGTCTCTTTTTACAGGCACTAAATCACTGCAGTATTCATGGCAATCATGGCATCCACAGAGTTTATACAAGATGACGGAGCCAAAGAACAGCAGATCGGTCATTAGTGTTCGGCTACAGAGTTTTCTCATCACCGGCACAGCAAGTGAGAGAACAAGCTCTGCAGCAGAAACATGCTCTCAGCAGGGTTAATGACAGCACTCCACTGTAACTAAGTGCTGCAATTGCAGACCTGCTTTACATGAAATGATGTTCCTCCCTGCATTTACACTCAGGTGCGTCAGCACTTCCTGATAACACCGCAGCTCAGCAATGAAACTGAATGTTGGCAGCCCATTTAAACAGACACTCAGCTTCACTAAGATTTGAGCCATCTGTGAACCACCTAATCGCAACGCTGACATCACAAAAACCTGAAATTATGGAGTTCTTTTCAAATTAATCTATCCTCCCTGCAGTACTCTTAACAACCCGCACGGTGGAATTACTGATTTACACCTTTAAGGAAATTTCATAAGCACAAATATTTTCGACACCAAATTTACAAGTTAAATTCAAAACCACTGCAACAAGGGGAAAAGAGGCTTAAAGGCATCACCGATGTTATACACTGTGCTAGAAATATTAGGAATACAGTAGGGCTGTGCGATATGACCAAAATCTTATATCCCGATATAAGACATCTATCGGGACGATAACGATATAAATCAAAAAAATGTAACATTTTCTGTAAATTCTGTCAATCTCGGGCAGCTCGACTTGCGTGAAGTGTTTCCAGCTGGAGTCGAGTGTTTTAACCGATGCATGAAACGATACATTTTTAGACATAAGTTGTAACGGCCGCCGTTTCTTTGTGAGTATTTATTACACGGCGTGCTGCGGGGAAAAGCCTGTTCTAACGTTTGAGTCTAAGGTTTATTTTTTAGCACCTGACGGCTCTTTTTGGCTTCTCATCTGTAAATACTCTGCATACTCTTTTACGTGATTCGGTTTATTTTGAAAAGTCTCATCATGATCTTGAGCTTTATTGTGAAAGGTTTATGTGGAACATAAATAAGCGGACATGCGATGGTTTTACCGTCAAACAGGCGCTTGTCCGTCGGTAGTGTGGTTATATTAAATATAAGAGAAAGAGAGAACTTTAAGAAATTAATATAGCCACTACAGTGACCATCAAAACAATGAAAACAATATTGCTGTAAACAGTTTATTTTGCGACACCACAAAACAAACGTTAGAGTAAAATGAAACGATAGACGTTTTTATATTGTCATCCGATATATATCGTTATATCGAACAGCCCTAGAATACAGTGTAATATCAAAGTTCACCAACAACATCAGCTACATCACTTACTGCTGCACCAGCTACAGCAGCCTCAACGGGGTCATTATAAGCTTCAAAGATACATTCATTTTACAATGGCTGCAATATGCATTAAAATGCTACAATAAAATTAATCTAGCATTGAACAGGACTTAAGTGAATTATCATTATTTATTTATAGAATATTAAATATATTCATACACTTGTACTTTTTCCAGAGCAAAACTAAATAATTTATTTAAAGTTTATTATTAACTAGAAACCTTCTCTCCTTAAACGGCAATGAGGCCACACTTCATGCAAGAGTATTCAAATCTCTCCTCTCCCCTTTGCTGCCTTATGACTGGATTACAGAGAACTGATGAATTCACAAATGGAAAATAAAGGAAGCAGGGATGTGCAGGACACAACAATCAAATGATTACATTGACTGACAAAGCTGTTGATGTGGACAGCAAGGAGTCCTAAAAAAGGTATAAAACCTAAAAAGTGATTGGACCTTTTCCCATTAGTACCTACTCTGATTAGGGTGACTCGTTTTCCATTACAGCGCCACCTAATATGTGTGGGGTTGTTCGCTTTTTCAGATCGCTTGGACCCTGGCGAAGTACGTATTGAAAAAGTACCTGCTATCAGGTACTATGACCCAATGGAAAACCCTGAAAACCAGCTGACCGGAATAGGTTCTAATAGACCTGATGTTACTTAAACGTTCTTTCAATCTGGTCTGACCGATTCCTGATTGGGAACAAACAAGCATGTTTACGGGTGAGAAGGATGAGGCAGAGGATTCCAGTGGTGGGGGAGACATGATGAAAATAAATATACTAATCTTAAATGGTCATATGCAGCTTGAAAGAATGTTTGAAACTAGACACTTTGCAGCATTTTTTTTTAAAATCTTTCCCTTTTCTGTCTTGGTTCTCATCAGCCTGCAGCACTGAACAGAGGTGGATTACATGACTACAATAACGTGTACAAATGTGGGAACCCGTATACCGTCAGCTCAAGGCCTTACAAGATGCACAGGGCAGGTAAAATCAGTTACGGTAAGCTCACCTGATCTTGTTGCCGGTCTTCATTCTGATCCACTGAGGAATCGGCCTGTTCTGTTTCTGCTTCTTGGCGAGGAAACGCTTGATTCTGAAAGTCTTGTGGGACGACTGGAAGACGTAAAAGACACCGTATTAGCACAATCATTAAAAAACACCAAGTCTATACATCTTTAACCAAATGCTTCTGGTTTAAAACTATTTTTTTTAAGCTTTCAGTGCTAAAATAAACAAGCTAGCCGCTAGCATGCGCAGAACCACCATACCGGCTAGCATCACTGAGCACTTTTAATATGCTCCATCTCATTTTTTTCGTATAACATACACATTGTTATCGTGACAATAATTTTAGTTTTAAATGCTTAAGGTTTCGGGGAACTTTAATAAGCCCTGCTAGCTCGGATGTTTGTAGATTTTCTATTTACCATTTTGTCCACAGTCCTTTCCCCACTATGGCGGTGGTCGAAAAGAACGAGAGAAGTGACGCCACGGCTTTTTGACCAATAAGCGTCGAAAAAACTGTTCCACGTCCTACAAACAGCGACACCAACATGTCATTAGAGGAAGTACATGTCATAGTTTTAACGGTTTGCCTTTCATCCAAGAGATAGTTAACACAGAGCCGGAGCCTTGCACTAAAAAACAGCATAACTGACTTCAGTTTTTTTTTAGTTTTACCCGGTAGTCACTTCACACCAATTTGGTCACAATAACTGAAAGATTTCTAGGTTTTTCAGAGCATCTAAAGCATCTAAAGTCTTTGAGCACCATAGCTGAATTGATCAAGAAACACAAAATTACAGGAGTTAATTTATTTCTGATATACTTTCCAGTTTTAACTCTTATTTCCTAATTAATCTCAATATATGATTATAAAGCAGAGTACCTGCTTTAAAATCCTAAAGTCTAGGTTTTAGTCATTACTTGACCTTCTTCTTCTTCTTCTTTCACATGGTTACTGTAGGGGTTGCCATAGTAGCTCATCTGCCTCCGTCTCATCTTATTCCTAGCATACTCCTCAGCAGGCCAAGCCTCCTCAGAAACTGAACTTCTAACAGGAGTACACTGGAATCCATCCTGATAAATGGTGAACCAGCGTGGTATGCCATCTGCACTCCTGAAAGATCTTCACCAAGTGGTGAAAATGGCAAAGCACATTGTTGAGATGAAGCTCCCACATCTGGACTCAATCTGTGCCATCATCATGGAGAGAAAAGGCAAGCAGACAGTGTCACTACGGACAGTACACACCCTATTCTGTGGTTGAATCTCTGCCACCTGGCCAGCTCTTCAGAAAGATCATTCACTCACTACATCCACAAATCTTGTCTGTGGTCTTCCATGTTTCCTTCTGCCTGGCACCTCCACATTTAAGATTCCATGTCCAGTATATCCACTATCCCTCCTCTGCACATGTCCAAACAATCTCAGACTTGCCTCGCTAACTTTGTCTCCAAATAGCCTGACCTGAGCTGTCCCTCTGATATACTCATTTCTAATCTTGTCCATCCTTGTCACTCCCAGTGAATCTTCAACTCTGTCACCTCCAGCTTTGCAGGTTTCACTTCCACCTTGTAAACCTTCCCTTTCATTCTTGCTGTGATCCTGCTATCAGAAATGAACCCTGACACCTGTCTCCACCCATTCCACCCTGGCTCCACCCTCTTCCACACCTCTGTTGTGCACTGGATGGTTGATCCATTCTTCACTTACTCTCATTTGCCAGATTCACTGTTGTTTTAATTGCATTTTTTTTTTCAGTTTTTCTTCCTGGCTTCCACTTGGATAGACATACTACAAGCTTCCAACCTGCACTGTGTTTAACCTCTTAAGAATTTTCAAAGATAAAAGTTGTATTTTCTTTTGTAATATGAGCCACAATGCTGCCAGCAGACACGTCCCTGTTTGTGTTTGGTCATATTCCACCATCACCACCTCTTTCATGTGAAAGCGTCATTGTGAGATTGGGAGTTGATGACTGCCTTTGTGTCATCGCTTAGCCTGATTGCTGTCGTTAGCCTCAGTGAAGCCATAGTGCTGGCCTCAGGCGTCTATACTCAGTAAACCACAGACAACATAATACAGACGCTTGTCACTCACCAAATCCCAAGTTGAATTTTAGAGAAGAAACAGAAAAAAGCAGAAGTAGGAGCATAACTACAAGTGGAGAAAAGGAGTTTTATTTATATTTTGATTTATTTTGCTATGGTAATTTGAGCTTTTAATGATTTCTTGATCTTTTTCCAAGGTAAAAACATTGTACAGCATCTTTAATGATCTTAAAAAAGAAGAACTGGGTGCACGGGTTTGAATTTATTTTGGATTTTCACTAATCCTGAAGTATGTATATCCCCCACTAATATTAAGTTAAATGTCCCTTAGCAAGTTGCATCTCGAGCAAATGCTTCTGGCATCATTCTGGCTCGACATTTGATTACTCTTCTTAGGAGATCTGATAGAGTTCACTTAAATTGTTTGGTTTCCTGGCTTTTAAGCATAGTCCACAAATTTTCAATAGAGCTGAGGCCCAGAAGCTTAATGTTATCCTGATTTTTCCATTCCAAAATGAATATTGATGTGTGTTTAGAATCACTGTGCTCTTGGAGCATCCTGCTGTATTCAAGTTTCAACCATGTAGCTGTTGATTTGAGGCGAAGTTGAAAAATAGGTAGTCCTCTCCTCCATTATTCCATCCACTTTGTGCAATGTACCAGTATCACTGGAAGCAAAACAGCGCCAGAGCATGATGCTACCACCACCATGCTTCACATTTGGTACAGCTGCTGTTAAGCAGGTTTGAAAACATCACCTTTACTCCTCTGAATGTATTTCTTGTCACTGTGGCCAAATAGTCCAATCTTGGTCTCGTCTGACCATGAAAAACTTTTTCCACGTGGGCAGCTCCAAATTTTAGGTCAAACTTGAACGTGTCGATTTTTGGAGCAGGATGCAGATGTAAAACTTGACTGTAGTTGTTTAGAAATTATTCCAAGACATATTCCCAACTTGTGCAAACCTACATTTCTCATTTTTAGATATTCACTGAGTTCTTTGAACTTTTTAATTGTCCTGAGTATTGGTCCACTCAGTGAGTGCTGTCAAATAAATCTCCAAAAGTCCAGATGAACAGAATCAACTTTTGGAGATTTACTTACCTGGATGATTGAACATGCATCAGGATGTCAAATAAATCCGTTTTATGCTGGCAAACAGAAACTACCAGTTATTACTAGTATCATTAAAAGCTTTGAGTGTATCTACATAATTGATCCTGTGTATACCATCCTATGTATAGTTGTTACTGTGTGTGGATTAGAGAAAATCCCATTTCCTGTTTTTTAAAATAAATAAATAAATGTATTTATTAAAGTCGTATGCTGTACAATCATTCCACCCTGGAAAAAGAAACAGCTCAAGAAATAACAAAAAGCTCCAAATTACCTTGACATTCATGACCACAATGAGCCAAGCAAACTTCTGACTTCTCTTCTCCTTCACTGTGATATAAATCCTAAAGTTTTCTCTTCCCTCCCTGTTGTCTCTGCATCTGACTGCCGCTTTGCCTCATTTACTGGTGAAAAATTCTCAGTTCCAACTGAGCTGCCCCATTGAATGAGCGTTTGTTCAATGGCACAATGACAACACCACCTGTTTGAAAGAGCACCAAAGCAGTCTTGACAGTCACGTCTCTAACACTTGCCGCTGATGCCCTGATATTTTTTCCACAGGTTGGGAGCACCTTGGCTCTTTGTCATTCTTTTTTGACTTTTCAAATCCTCCTTTTCCCATTTAAAGGTTGTAATTTTGCCTTCACCTACTTCCATCTGGTAATAATCATGAAGAAAAATAAGATAAACAAAGAAAACGAGATAAATGCAGCGTAACACTACAGAATGGATCGTTGTTATCTATCCATTTGAATTGCACTAGTCTGGTTTTATTTCAGAGTCCCTGGGCTCCTGCAGGCTCATTTATAGGC